AGTATTCTTAACCAATGCCACAATTTAAAGGCATCAACTCTACTTCAGTCATCCTTATTCATTGTCCAGCTTTCACATGCATATGAGGTGACTGAAAATACCACAGCTTGGGTCAGGCCCACCTTAGTCTTCAAAGAGGTATCTTTGCTCTTCAGTACTTGAAAGAGGTCTTTTACAGCAGATGTACAGTGCAGTTACATCATCTGATGTCTTAACTGCTGCTTCCATGGGTGTTGATTGTGTAACCAAGTAATATGAAATCTTTGACAACTTCAATCTTTTCTCCATTTATCATGATGCTGCTTATTGGTCCAGTTGTGAAGATTTCCATTTTCTTTATTTTGATGTGTAATCCATACTGAAGACTGTAGTCTTTAATCTTCATCAGTAAGTGCTTCAAGTCATCTTCACCTTCAGAAAGCAAGGGTTGTGCCACCTGCATATCACAGGTTGTTAATGAGTCTTCCTCCAATCTTGATGCCATGTTCTTCTTCATATAGTCCAGCTTCTCGGATTATTTACTCAGCATACAGACTAAGTAAGTATGGTGAAAGGATACCACCCTGATGCACACAGTTCCTGATTTTAAAACATGCAGTATCCCCTTTTTCTGTTTGAATGAGCCTCCTGTTCTACGTACAGGTTCCTCATGAGCACAATTAAGTGCTCAGGAATTCCCATTCTTCTCAATGTTATACATAATTTTTTATGATCCACACAGTTGAATGCTTTTGCATAGTCAATAAAATACAAGTATACACTTTTCTGATATTCTTTCCTTTCAGCCAAGATCCATATGACATCAGCAATGATAATCCCTCATTCCATGTCCTCTTCTGAGTCCAGCTTGCATTTCCGGAAGTTCCCTGTCAATGCACTGCTGCAACAGTTTTTGAATTATCTTTAGCAAGATTTTACTTGTGGCCAGGTGGCTGTCTTCCAAATCCTGTGGTATAGCTGAGTGAGTGCCTCCAGTGTGGCATCCATTTGCTGAAACATTTCAATGGGTATTCCATCAATTCCTGGAGCCTTGTTTTTGGCCAATTCCTTCAGCTCAGCCTCAACTTCTTCCTTCAGGACCATTGCTTCTT